ATAGTATTCTTATTTAATGGTTTTCCTTCTTTGCCTTATCAAACCCCATCTTCAAACTTCTCCTTTTATTTTCCACCAATATCACTTTTCGTTTTTTTGTTGAAGATTTGGTATAGATATTTCAAATCTTACATTATACTTTTTATATGGTACATAACAAAGTATATATGTATTCTAGTGGTTTTATTGGGTCTATTGATATGGATGAGCAACTTCAGTGGACATATTAATTAAAGATATTTTAGTGATGATTTGTTTTTATGCCAAATTAATGTGATAATACATGTTATGAAATATTCTTTTTTGTTGTTGTTGTTAAAATGCGAAATTTAAACTAGTGACAACGTTTTTACACCCGAAACCCAAATTTAATGAACAAATTGATGAATAACCATACCATGCAAAAAAAAATTGTCACGATAAGAAACTAGCAATGCATATAATCAAACCTTATAAAAGAAAAGTAGCAATGCATATATATTTGTTTTGGATTCAAGCTTGTTATTATATATACATATACTGATATACCCAAAACTAGGATTCTTCAAAACTCAAAATGGATCTAAATGATTCTTATATTATTTTAGATTAAGTCGAGTCTTATCTGGATATATTGAACTTGTGATTGTAGTTTTGTTTTTGTTTAGGTTTTGGTAATTGGTACACTATACTTTTTTAAACAAAATTATGAAATATATGTAATGATATGATTTTATTAAGTACCAAACGAATATGAAAATTGATTCATATATGCAATAAAGAAGAAGTTGGTAATGTCTTTTAAATTCCACCAAATGGACGATGTACCTTGTTTGTCTCGCCTCTGACCTTCTTGCGGGGAATCATTTAGTCTTGGAAATTCAAAAAAAAAGTGGGTCCAAAAAATAACATTATCAAATTAATTGGCATCACTACTCCCACATTTAAGTTTATATTCGTGAATCCATATATATAAAAGAGAAACATATTGTATAGAGAAACACGTAAAGATTATCAAGATTTTCGGATCCATTTGATGATGGTGTAGTAGATGAGTAAGAATCCATATAGATATGGAATTGACTTGATGGTGATGATGATGATGAATATAAGAATCCATAGCTATCCATATTATAAAATGAAACAAAAATTGAGGAAGAGTATGATTAATTAGTTTGGTTTTTATTGAAAGTTACAATTTGGCTAACTTCTGAAACCTTTTGATTAATAAATATATATAACAAGATAGAAGACACAAAGTGTGTACAAAACGCTAATTTGTTTTTTTATAACAAAGAAACTAAACTTTATTTACTTGTTTATTTTCATATTACAAACAAATTTTGTATGATACACATATGTAAATGATCGTTATTTTGGCCAGGTGAACAAATTAAAATTGTTTTTCTTGATCTGATTTTCATGTTAATGTCCAAAAAGAGATTTTATTGGTCATCAATTTATTAATAAAGAAACCAAATACTTATCTTACCATTCACATGTTACACTCACATGTCACCTATGCATTAAATTGGACCGTTAATTTATCTTTATAAGTATTGTAATATTTTCGTATTTAGTTAGGTTCTTACGTGAGACCATGACCCAAGGCACAAGCCACACCTTTTTGGAGAAAGAGGAAACAAACAGCCAAATAAAACTTTTTTAAAAAACAATAATACAAAATTGACTCTTCTTTTGTACTACTACTCATATTTTCAACAAACAAAGATGGGCTCATTAAACAGTAACCAAAAACATGATAAATAATGAATTGATAGGTTCAACATCCAAAGTAAACTTCATGGTATGGTGCTTTGTAATAAAAAAAAAAATATATGACAATTAGTTTCATTAATCCATAAAGAAATTTGACTTAAGACCAAATCATGTATTGGCTCAAGAGATGCCATTCCCTTACATCAATGTTTTTGCCTACCTGTCTAGCTCTTGCCACCACATTTCTACTTCTACATCTTTTGTCTATATATACACACCCAAAATATATATATATATATATATATAGTGTGTGTATGGTCCATTCAGAGCCGTCCATGGGTACAAGCCAACCAAGCTGGTGCTTGCGGCCTTTTTAAATATATGTATTTAATCGGCCCCAAATTTGCATAAAGATCTATTGGTTCTGCTGGAAACATTGCTCTAACCTAGTGTTGAGGTCTCTGGTTCAATACTCCATGAAGGAGATATCTTTTTTGTTTTTTTTTTAAAGGAAAAAGTAACAAAAAAAATTTATTTATGCTTGGGGACACCAAAATCTCAAGGACGGCTCTGGGTCCATTCTCATCTTATTATCTTATTTGTGTAAGAGTAATATTCTAACATCTACCATTCCTTCTTAATATTATTTTTTAAAATAAATATGTGTAGTTTTCGTTCCAAAATAAATGTCATTTTACCATATGATATACACTTTTTTGTTTGTTAAAGATGACCATATAATACACACGTATGTATATGTTTATATATATCCTTCGTTTTGAAGAAGACGGAAACGACTTTTTTGGTTGAGAATGTGAAAAATTGGATAGTGTGAAGCATTATTATTGTTACTCATGAGGAAACGTGAAGGTGGCCTAAAGGGATAATTTTAAAAACCCTAATTAATGAAAATCAATGATGTCCAATTGTGTATTTTGCATCTAATCAAATCTACACCTTTGAATATTGACTCTTCTTCTTTCCACTTTTTTATTTTATTTCTTAATTTCTATTTAACATAAAAATAATTTCCATCTTTCTATTTTCAATTAATTCACCATTTTTTCATCATGGCCAACACACAAATCCAACTAAGGCTAAAGTTGCACCTATATATAGGTATGTATGTATAAGATAACCATTAAATTGAAAACATCTCTTTAGCATACACATGTATAACTTGTTGTTTTACCTTCACCAAATTACTCTCACCCTAGACATACACTCATTGTTCTTGAAGATGCCTTGTCACATCCCATAAAGATACAAAAATTTTCTTTTAAAAAAAAATTGACACCATGTAAGTTTACCATGGATAAAACGGAAGGTTCACCGTCTCGTATATTTTGCTATATATGTTTGTTTATTTATACATACATATATAGTTTTACACATATACTATATGTATGTGTATAGTAAAAGAATATGAAGGAAGTATGAGAAATGAGATTGTTGGGTGAGGAGTAAGAGAGATTGAAAAGTGAGGATAACATGTTTTAGGAAGAGAAGAATTGAATGTTCAAGAAGTTATGCCCAAGAATTCACAATTTGGTGTGGTGGGCTCCTTTAAAGGGCAAAGAACAAAAGTGTGTTATGTCTCCATTACTATTTTCAATAATATTTAGTTTTTTAATCATCACTACTATTACTCTGTTCTGGTCCAATCATAGATAGTAATAGTCTAATACTCATCGTTTCTACATTAATCCATAATAGAAATTGATTTAGAATTAACCACTTTTTATATCAGCATCACAAGTTTTATATGGCAGAAACTTACATGGTGTCAACAAGTTTCTTCCTCGCCTAATGTTCAAAACTAATTAAGACTTTGGAATGTATTAGGTTAAGGCCAAGAGCAACGACCCACCTAATATCTATAATAATATATATGATATATGCTCATAACTTAGCTGCTTAATTTGATAAAACTTGTTGATTATGTTTGTTTAGTTGTTAGATTTCTGTTCCATCATGATACTTTACTAAACCGAATAAATATTTCTTCATCTATATTATATACACAGTTCGCGCGCAAATGTATATCATGTCTTTATCATGGAAAAAGTCAGTTACCTGCAATACCATAATTTCTAAAATTTCAATCAGATGTAACAGTCAATTAAATTTGAATCTACCTAATTTATTATTGTGAATATATATGAAGTATACTATTTGGTATTAAATTTTGAAAATATCGACAAGAAAACTTCAAAAATAGTAGGAGTAGTTAATAATAAATTTAGACGAACGTTCTTCTCTTTTTCGGAGAATTACACCATTTTTATTATACTGGATTAAACAAATCTTATCATGGTAATTTTTGAAATAGATCAAACAAAAAAAAAAGGAATAGTAAAAAAAGAAGGTTAAAGAAGACGGTGCCGTTCGATAGCATCAATCAAAGCAGCAATGAGGAAACACGACAGAGAGTCTTCTCGTGAGAAAAAGCAAGAAAACACCAAAAGGAAGAAAGCTTGAGAAGATAAGTTTTTAGTTTTTTGGAAAAAATTATATTAAGATAGTAAAAAGTATTAAAAATCTTGAACCATTATGTTGTTTACGAGAAAAATTATATTATTTGGTCTATGCATGCATAAGTGTTTAAGGATATAGGGTTGTTTTATTTTAAGATGAACTACCAAAAACAAAAACAAAAAAAGGACAAAGAAATATGCAGAAAATTAACTTTCAAATTTCAATGATGTGTACTCTACTAGATATATCATATGAATCATCGAATATGTAGATTTTATACGAAAATAACAAAACATTAATTACATATAACATATTTATATTTAATAGAACTAAAATTAAAGGTTTACAAAAATTTTACCTAGCAAAATTTTATATTACTCTTTTGTGTATATACATTTACGGATATTTTTCCTATTTGATATTGAACAAAATTAGTTACATTTCCAAAGTAAAATTTTCTTGATTTGATACTTTGCAACTAGTTAGTTACCTTCCTCATATTCATAAACTAGTAAAACAAAATTCAAGAAACTGCTAATATTGACGAATCAATATGCGTATCTAAAAAAAACGAAATATACGTTTCCATTAAAAAAGAAGAAAAGTAAAAAATAAATAAATGTAGATGCGATTCAAATATTCAACATAGAGTTACATAATAAATGAGAATCATGCTTAGTATGTGCATATAATACAGAGACTTATTAAAAGCTCTTCCCTTGAAAACTTCCCAATTCCATTCCTCTTCCTCTTCCTTCTCCTTCTTCTTCACCATTTATTTCTCATATTTATAAAAAGTAAATCAGAATCCCGAACCAAAGTTTCAATCTTTCATCATCATGATGTCCAATACATACATATCTTTTATGTGATTTTTACTTATTAAAGAGAAATTCTCATTAAGAAGCTTTTTTGGTTCTATCTTCTCTCTTCTGTGTTCATGGCGGTTCAAGCTCATCACCATCCTTCTACTCTCTTCTTCCTCAACAACGGACAAGAAGGGAATGATTGTTCGAATCAGCCTCATAAATCTCAGTTTCATTCAATCAACACCGGTTTGTTTTCAAAATTTCGAACCGATCGATGACGTTTTTTTTTTTTGAGAATATAATCGGTTTATTTATATCTTACCGGTGAATCTGTTATCTTTTTTGGGCGGGTAAAAAAAACAGGGGTTGATTCAAGAAAGCGAGCGAGAGAAGTTTCGTCGGTGATTGATTTAGATATCACGGTGGCTCCGACGAACCCTCCCCCGCAAACTCCGCCGCAAGTTATCGGACGTCGACAAGTTCCGAATGTAGTATCAACCGGTCTTCGTTTATCTCGTGAACAGTCGCAGAATCAAGAACAACGGTTTTCAACTTTTCCGATGATTACCGGAGAACTCGCCGGAGAAATCAAAAACCAAACGGACGAATTAAATAGATTTCTTCAAATCCAGGTGACTATATTTTTATTGTAGATTAAAATTCACAAATTATCTCTACAAAAAAATAAAAATAAAATGCTTTTCATAGAAGTTTATGAAATTTAATAAAATGCTTTAGTTGCATTTTTGGAATTTGGTAAACCAAAACATAAAAATGTGCTAATTTATTATAATAAGATAAAAAAGTCATTTTTTTTTATTTTGGAAAAGGGAGAGCAGCTGAGGCGCATGTTAGCGGAAAACAATGAAAGGCACTATCGTGAGCTACTAAGAACGACGGAAGAATCAGTTAGGCGGAGATTAAGAGAGAAAGAAGCAGAGATCGAGAAAGCCACGCGTCGTCATGTCGAGCTAGAAGCACGTGCGGCTCAAATGGAAACAGAGTCACGTGTCTGGCAAGTGAGAGCAGCTACGAGAGAAGCCGAAGCGACGTCGTTACAAGCTCAATTGCAGCAAGCCGTAGTTGTAGCTCAGGGCGGTGGAGTTATTACGACGGCTGAACAAAATTTAGGAAGCGTAGACGGTGTGGATGATGCGGAATCGGCTTACGTGGATCCCGATCGGTGCGAAATGATCGGACCTGGATGTAAGATTTGCCGGCGGCGATCGGCGACGGTGTTGGCTTTGCCGTGTCGTCATTTGGTTCTGTGTAAAGGATGCGATGGCTCCGTACGAGTTTGTCCGCTTTGCCTTAGCACGAAGAACTCAAGCGTGGAGGTTTTCTATTTTTGATGGGCCATTATTTAATGGGCTTATTAGGCCCAGTAAATTGGAAATTTCATAAATTTTAAAACTATTATCTATATTAATTAAATTTATCATTTATATAAAGTATACTTTTGAGTCTCATTCTTGAATAGCTTGAGAGGTTTTTGATGTAATAGTCTTGTTTTTTTTTCTTTACAGAGAATTGCTTTTTGTATAAAATCGTACTTGTATTGCACTGAGTTGGGCAAATAATTACCATAATGGCTCTATAGTTTTCCCATCTTCCTTCAAGTACTGTAGGTGGACATCATCATCATTCGGAAACAAAACTCTTGCCATGACCGATAGCTCAGTGAAAATATATTTTGGGTTGGAAGCATCTTTACCACCCTATAGAACAATTACAACCATGATGAGTACGAGCATAGTTGAAAATATATTCTGGAATCTTTCACACCACATCCCACGAATATACAAACTCAACAAAGCAAGCCACAATCCAATCCCAATAAGAAAGTTAAAGTGTCATAACCTCACGCTTACGAGTTAAGCATCATAAACGAGAACAAATGATTAATCTATACTTACCGAGATTCGAGAACCAAACTGGCCATCTGGGTCAAGTAAATTGACATTGTTGGGGCTACCAACATAATCCTGTGCCATCCTAACAATCGTTTTAGCCAAACTCTGTTGGCTGTGGTGATACGAGCAAGTTTTAGAAACATCAGAAAGAAAGCTGCTCCACCGTGACTTTTTTGTTGCATTTGAACAGGGTGAACAGAATCTTTCTTGATGATAGCTTGAGCCCATCAGCCACTGAAGGAATACACCTTTCGAGATTTGCTTTGAAAAAGTATATTAATTCAAAATTAATAAAATCATGATATGAAATCCTCGTTACAGATCGGTCTAGATGGGTGTCAGGCTGCATAAACAAAATTAGAAAGTCAAAGATTAAATAAGCAAATTGTAATTTTTAATTATACTATTTGATCTCCAATTAAATTTTATCTTATTTTTTCAAATATTTAGTTTTTCTTATTCTAATTTGAAATAAGTTTAATTTAACTACTCCTATAACTTAGTTTTTCCTTTTCCAATTTGAGTTAATTTTATTTTTTATTATTATTTAACTACTTATATATACTTGTTTTTAAACTTTCACATAATAGTTCTCGTAAATCATTTTTAATTTGATTTACTTTTTTGATTATATTCGACTTTAATTTTTAGTTTTCAAATCGAAGTTTGTGATTTAATATTTTACAACGTATTGAAAAAGGAATTTTTTTTTGAAATGACCCTTTTGAGATACACCTTTTCAAAAATGCCCCTCCATTTTTCCATTTTCAATTTTGCCATCTTTTAATTTTTAATGACCATTTTACTCTTAACTTGAAAAATACTTTGATCAACAAAATAAAAAAAATGAAATTTTCCCGCCAAAAACATGATCCCATCATTTTCCCGCCAAAAAGATTCCGTAATTTTTTGGTGGGAAACGAGACCCGTAATTTTTGCGGGAAAATTTTTAGGTAGGTGAAGGAAAAGCTTCCCACGCATACACCATTAATAACAGTACATGTCTATGCATAATTATCAAATCAAAACCAACAACACCATTTACAAAAAGAATATTCATACAAAAGAAAGCATGATACAACAACACTCTGTTTTGATACAGGACATTTGAATTGAAAACCAACCAACATAGATTATATGTACAAATATACATGCTATAAAACATATGTCAACATTTTGAATGAGCGCGACAAAATGTAACGAAACCCATCAAGAAATACCAAACGAAAAACAAAATTGCATGTTGGTATCAATAAAATCAAAGCTTCATGTTTTTACTGTTCTCTTTACTCATAGCAAGCAGCTCTTCTTTGCTTTTTTCCAAGTGTATGGGACAAGTCCTACAGAGTGAGGAGCTTGAGTAGATTAACGAGCTAGGGTCAACTATCTGAAGATCATGTGTTAACATCAGTTCTTACTGGAAGTGGAAAGCAAGGTGACTGGATCAGTACTTAGCCTGTGTACAGAGCGACTATCTACTGCTTCGTCTATTCAAGAAAAGGTTACAATACCATGAGGAAAAACTTAACTGTGAACCCCCAGCCTAAGCAGCAACATTTATCCTAATCAGAAAAAATTATAGTTTCATATATAGTCCGAAAACTGAAGTGATTCTCCAGAGACAACTACTTGATTCATTCCAAAGCAGTCTTTATATATGGTACAACAGAAAGTGATTTTAAACTAAGCCGTAGAATAATCACCAGGTGATTCTTCCATCTCAAAAGGTTTCTTTAGTCCTCGTCGTCCTGCTTCATCAGACAGTCGCAGCAAGAACCTTCTGAAAACGACAAAACATAGGGACTGTAAGCACATGATCAAACCACTCAACTTTCCCCCAAATTTCACCACTTTTGCACCTTTCAAGCGCAATCTCGGCACACCATATCTTATTCTTATAGCCTAATCCATATCTAAAAATCTCGAACCAAAAAACTGCAAGCTTTCCACCATAATCAGCCAATCTAACACAAGCCTCAGGAGGGAATTTGGGTAGTCCTACCAAACCCTTCAAATCTCTCCATGATCTTAACTCAGTGTCATACCACATGAACACTCCGTGAGAAACAGAGTACAAAACATTATCTACCTCACAATGAGAATCTGAAAACATATAAGAACTCATATCTGGTCCAACCAGGTCCCATCTACCTTCCTTGGCATCGTAAGCAAACACCTTTGAACCAGCCACCACGTGGAACTTTCCGTCAATACATGCGGAATTGTAAAAAGGCATGTCTTCTTTTGCGACGCTGCAAGGGATCCCAAACTTGTGTTCTTGTGTCAAACACCTCGATCGTGTTCCTAAAGGGATCATCCTCATTGTCCCCATCTGCTTTGAATTTTCCTGCTACATATATCTTTCGATCAAGAACGCTAGAATAAACCGTAAATAGCTCCACACTCAAGCTTGGAAGCTCACGCCAAGAGTGAGGAGGCTTTGTACATGGATTGGGATGCGCCAATGTTATAAATATTAGAACCAACCGCCACGAGACTCGCTCCTCATGTGGAATTGGGACTTTAGCCAAAACATAGTCACTTGACTTGTTATTCTTCTTACTGGTTTGCTCAGGTTTCCGGCCGAGGGTGAACCAGATACGAGAAGAATGCATACTTAAGCACACATATAGACAACTCTCGGTGTGGCCCAAAAGTGACCGGATTTTGTAAAGCTCCGTTGAAGCCAGCAGAGATCGAAACCTCTTGGAAACAAGTGAGAGAGTTGGATAGTACAACCTTGAGACGCGTGCGATGATGCGCAACACCAAATCATCGGGAACTGACGCAATTGAGACCAACGACGGCTTTTTCTTCTTATTCGTCCTTTTCTTTTTCGGAACTGACGATACGAAAAAGCCGTTGATCGACAATATCTCCATTCTTCTTTTACTTTTTCTCCAAATTTAGGGTTAGGGATTTTGCGATCTGGCTCTCTTTCTCTCTTAGAGGAAGAAGAAGACGACTACACACACATTAGGTTAAAATATTGTTGGGCTTTATGGGCTGTTGCTAAATTGCAATATTTTCTTCATTTTCTCTTTCGATACTGGGTTTTCAGTTTTGGGCTTTATTGGCCCATTTTTTACATGGATTTTAGATGTTGCTCTGACTGATCACACTTCATTCGTGAAATGGTTGACATTTTTTTGGTTTTAATGTTAAGATTTTATACCAAAAGAGAGTTTACAACATAGGCCCTGTTCGGGAGAGTGACGCCGCGATTGCGACAGCGACAGGAAAAATAGACACGGACAAAGGCATAAATCACGTTTATCAGAAAAAAGTAGTCGCTGGAGATAGGAATCACCGTCGCTAGCTCCGGAAAAGGTGCCGCTGTTATTTCTAGCGACTGATAGTTTGCCGTAAAACCAGTCGCTGCGACAAAATCTGAAACGGAATCCAGGCTTCTCTTCCTTATCTTCTTCTATCTTTTTGGTTTTGGTCGCTGTCGCAGCGATTCTTAACCAAACACGGCCATAAACTAAATTTATCATTTTTATAAAGTGTACTGTTGAGTCTCATTCTTGAATAGCTTGAGAGGTTTAATGTACATAGCCACAGTGATTTTATTTTATTTTTGGTTTTTAGAAATTCTTTTGATATCGTAATAAATCAACCTTGACTGTTTAATTTATTTATTTTACACATATAGCATTTGTTATTGATATGATTTATGATATTTTAGTTGATGATTAGGCATGATTTAGTATTATTTTCAAATGTTTTGTATTGTTATAATATTTGTATCATAATTAGGAATATCTTCTAGGGTTTTTGGGATTTTATATATTTTTGTATAAAAGCATCTTTAGAAAAAATTTAGAGATTTTTTTTCATTGTTTCTTGTTTTTGGTCGATCTTAATAGTGTGATTAATGTATTTTTTGGAACTTCAAACTAAACGAATAATTATCTTAGTTTTGGATATATTCATAATCAAGGGATCCTAGTCTATCACATAAACTTTTGCTATGTCAATTTGTTTCTATTAGATTTCAATGTATAAAAGGAAGAATCTCTATAAATAACTATTTTCAAAAAAACAATACTTCCTGAATTCCTTTTTCGAAAACCACTGAGTAATATATGCTCCTTTAGTCCTTTTCATGAGATGTAAATTCAATTTGGAAGAAAAGGAATATTTATTGTGAGAAACTCGTGACTTCCACATAGTGCCATAGCCAAATTAGCCATATACGACCTACAAAGTCTATACGCTCATTTCATGCCTTTTTCAAACTAATAATAGTCCATCCATGCCAATTCACCTTTTCCAAACTAATAATAGTCCATCCATGCCAATTTTCACCTAGATAAGTTTTCAAATTTGTTTGTTTATTATTTTTATTTTTTTGTATGAATGTTAAATTTCATTCATAAAAATCCTTTGTTACATTATATGCTTCTTTGTTCTTAGAGTCTTAACCTTACACTTAAAAGATTGTGAAATAAAATATATATATATATATCTAGTTCTGCAATCGCAGT